CTGATACTGATGCCAGGTGTCTGTATAGATTATGTACCCAAGGTTACAGGTGTCTGTATAGATATGATATGTACTCAAGTTTACAAGTTGTCTGTATAGATATGACAGGTGTTTGCTAGATATGATATGTACTCAAGGTCTACAAAAATAACTTACACAAAGAACTAGGATATAAAAAGGAAATACTCCTTCCTGTGTTTGTTCAGAATTTGACAGAGGTAATCTGCTCTGAACCTGCGCGTAATAAAGATGACTCCTAACTCATTGACTCATTAAGGCGTCTTGTCCAGTTCGCTGATTTGCAATACACCTTTCCTCTCTCCTTCCCTCCCTTCAGCTTTACTGAGCACCTGTCTGTGCCAGGCTTGGGAGTACTGAGGCAAAGCTAGCATCCCTAAGACCTCACTGCCTGGTGAGAGCATCACCAAGAAAATGGCTGTGACTGGGATGGGTGGGTGCAAGGGACTCAGGGAAAATTCTCCAGTGGAGTTAAAGCTGGCTGGGACCTGAAGGATGATGAAGGGCATTCCAGGTGGAGGGAACTCATGTGCAAAGGCAGAGAGGCAGGAAAGAGCCCGCCTGGTCTGGGAACTGTGGGAGGGCAATGGAGCCCAGGCCCAGGAAATCTGCTGGGTGAGGTTGGCGTCCCAGAACCCACTCCCTGGACCCTCTGCCTTCTTGACCTCTTTTGCTCCTGGCTAGGAAGAGGCCCCGGGCCAGCTGCACAAATGGATGCTTTGACATTGGAGAGAGGGAGTGAGGAAGGAGGGGCCAGTTGATGTGTTCTGGGATTGCTTCTCAGAAATCTGCCCTTCCTCCTCCTCCCACACCATGGCAACCAGGAGGCAACTGAGGAAGCCACCTATGAGCTGGGCTGAGTTGAGGGGGAGGTGGGCTGGGGATAGGGACCTCTACTCCCCCTCTCTGAGCCTCAGTCTTGGCATCTAGAATATGGGCACGGCAACCCAGTTGTGGGCTCCTGATAACCCAGGTGCTCCAGGAAGCCCAGGCCCAGGCTGAACTCCTTAGGGGAAGGCGGGGCTGGGGAGTGCCCTGCATCATCCTGCAGCTGGGGGCTGGGCAAGGCCATGGGGAGTCCCTGAGCCACGTGGCCTGCGCTTCCCACTGCACTGTCACTGTGGAGAAACCACAGGGAGCAGGAGACAGGGCTGAGGCAGACACAGGGATGGATCTTCCTGTGATCCCTGCAGTGAGGTCTAGGGGGTCTCCCCTGCTGGAGCACAGGGCTCAGCTGTTCCCAGAACCTGGTCAAAGCCCCAAAAGGAGGGTCTATTTCCTGAAGCTGCTGCTCTGATGACTACAGACTGGCCTGAAGCAACAGGAACAAGTGCTCTCCCCATCTGGGTGCCAGAATCTGAAAACAGGGCGTATAGGGCTGTGGTCCCTCGGAGGGCTCCAGGGCAGGGTCCTTCCTGCCTCTCAGCTTCTGGTGCTCCTGGCCCCATCCCTTCAATCTCCCCTCATTTTCACATGGCCTCTCTTCCATCCTAACGTGCCCCCTCCACTGTCCTAACATAACCCCACACTGTGTTCACGTGCCCATTGTACAGGTGAGGCTACTGCAGCACAGAGAGGGCAAGTGACTTCTTCCTTCAAGGGTACACAGCAGTAAAAGGGCAGAGCTAAAAATGGAACCCTGGGCTGCCCAGAACCTTTCTCCTTTACCTGTGACCTCTGGGTAAGCGGCCCTTCACCCGGTGGCCATTTGCTCTGATGAGCTTCACTCTTCCCCTCACCCCCAGGAGACAGGGGTCCTGTTACTGCACCAGTGCCTCTGGGCAGCTGCTCTTTGTCCCTCGGTTCTTCCCAGCTGATAACCTTGGCAGAGTCCCACTGCAAATAGGCTGACTTCCCACACTGGCTGAGGTGTGGCTCTGCCCCTGTGCCGCCTTGTCCAAGTCCCTCATGCCACCCCACCCGGTGGCAGCATCTCTCATCCCCTGGAGCCCCATTCAGAGCACAGCACCCTCAGCACTCCCCTGCAGCTCAGGGACCTGCTGAGCCCGTGCCCCAGCCTGTCACTGGTCTTCCAAGTCCTGCCTACAGCCCCAGGGTCATCAAGCCAGCCTGGGAGGGGCTGGTGAGTTGACCCCTTAGATAGAGGGGTGCAAACACCAGCACTCTGCTCACTAACACCCCGCCCCCCATCCCCACCCCCTCAAGGCCCTGAGCACCCCAGTCTGTGCTAACGTCCAGCTCCTGGAGGGCTTGGCCTGCGCAGTGTGGCCAAGAGGGGACCAGTCTGCACAGTGGCAGGCGGAACAGGCCTCCCAGGGCATTTGGCTGCCCACCTGGTCCCAAAGTCATCCTTCAACCTCCCACTTACCCCTTCTAAAGGGTAACGTGGTGTGGTTTCCTCCAACCCCAGCTGCCTGCCTTGGGAAGCGGCAGAGGCTGTCGCCATCTGCTGGCCCGTTCCTGTTACTGTAGACTGTAAGAGTCATCCCTGCCGCCCAGCCAGTGTCCACCTGGAGCCAGCCCAGCCCACCCTTCCCATTTCACAGGTCAGAACCAGGCCTCGGCGCTTCCCTCAGCTGGGATGGAGCAGAGCTGGATTGGGAATCAGGACGGTCTCTGCAGCTGATGTGTGTGGTCCCCATTTTCACGAACCCAGGAGGCTCCAGGGCCCTCTGTGCATTTGTAACTGTGGCTATGTCGCTGCATCACCCTGCAGAGAGGCTGAGAGTTACTGTCCCAGAGATCTCAAACGACAATCTTTTTAATTGTCCTCAACATAGAATATTAAGAGCACATAATTCCCCCATCTCAGGTAGCTGGGCAAAGCATATCAGATTATGAGGCAGTTTGAGGGAAACGAAGTGTAAAACTGTATTTTCTCCTTTGAAGTTTACAATCCAACAGAGAAAGAACTACTTGTAGCTACTGGAGCTAGCGGTCATTAAGGAATGTTTTGTGGAGTTAGTAAAAATAAAGTTCTATTAACTAATGAATAGCTTTAATGACAGAAATGAGGACATTCTAAGTAAAGGTACCAAAAAGAGATAGTACAATAATTGAGAGCAAGTTCCCTACTTAACCTACAGTCCCCTTGTGTAGGCTTCAAGAGAACTGCACCATCAGTGGGATCGGTTGGTAACTTCAGTGTGTATACTTTTCTGGAGGGTAAAAAGCATATTTTCAAAGGAGTCAATGTTGCAAAAGAGATTTAAGGTATGTTGTAAGTACTTGGACAAACTTCAAAAAGGTTGGGTTGAGAATGAAGTCCTTCTAGGTCACACCATGTGTAGAATTTGACCCATTCTTGTGGCTTTTGCACAGAGAATGGGTAAACAGGGTAAATCCAATATTTGGTGATGAGTTAGATGTGAAATGTCAAGAAAAACATTGAGGATGAAATCAAGCTTCTGATTTGGGAGAATGAGTGCAGCCAGTTACAGGGTTGGTGGAAGATGAATTAAGTTTGGAACATTCAGACAGGGAAAGATGGACAGTTGAATATACAAGTTTACAAACATAGCTGGAAGTCAATGGATGCTAGTTTTAGCTGGAGCAGTGAAGATGATCCAACCAGCCCTGACCGGTTTGGCTCAGTGGATAGAGCGTTGCCCTGCAGGCTGAAGGGTCCCGGGTTCGATTCCGGCCAAGGGCATGTACCTTGGTTGCGGGCACATCCCCAGTCGGGGGTATGCAAGAGGCAGCTGATCGATGTTTCTCTCTCATCGATGTTTCTAACTCTCTATCCCTCTCCCTTCCTCTCTGTGAAAAATCAATAAAAAATATATATATTATAAAAAAAAATGATCCAACCATTATTTGTGAACAATGGAAAGTCTCAATAGTAGGAAACATCAATACTTAAGAGGAAAGAGTAATAGAGAAATGATCAAGAGATGTTGGGATATATTGTTGTCTACCCCAGGAAAGGAGTGGTGAGTTAAACACACTCCACCAGAGATTAGGTGAGAGTCGTGTAAGAAATGCCAGCTTGTTAATGTTTGAGAGGCAAAAAGTGTAGACTGTGTAGGTCATTGGTAAGAGTCATACCAAGTGTAAGGGGTTTCATGGACACTTGGATGAAAGTTTAGTGACCTATAAAATCCTCATGGCTGCATAACGTAAGAGTCCCAATCTATATGGTTTATAGATTGATGGTGAACTATAATACCTCTCAGTAATAACTTGCTGGGTACACTGCTCAGATTTATTCTGTTATAAGAAATAAACTAGTTATGGTTATCACCTGGGAGACTCCAATTTTTGAAAATGATGGTACACTGGGGATTAGTGTGGCTCAAATATGTGTTATCAGAATTAAAAGAATTTTATGACCCACATAGATTCCCACCATCACCAAGTAAGATTCACTAAGTCTTTCATTTGAAGGCAAAGGTGGCTCTACTTTTTTTCCATGGCAAATTGCTGACACCCATCAGAAGTTCTCAGAAAATTCCCTTTCCATGGCTTTCACATTGCCTCTTCATCTTATTTTGTGTCTTCCCTCCCCTCCCCATCAATCTCAACTTTTCTTCAGAAAAAAAAAAAAAAAATCAAAATGAAAACAAAACATGTCTATCAATAGCTAAAGATACACACCATTTTCTGAGATACTGACTGCAAATAAAAACCATGTCCTTAGAATTTTGTAAAGATCAAATTGAGGAAGAGAACTGTATTGCTCTTTATCAGCTGTTCTTTTTTTAAAATATATTTTATTGATTTTTTTACAGAGAGAAAGGGAGAGGGATAGAGAGTTAGAAACATCAATCAGCTGCATCCTGCACACCCCCTACTGGGGATGTGCCCGAAACCAAGATACATGCCCTTGAACGGAATCGAACCTGGGACCCTTGAGTCCGCAGGCTGACGCTCCATCCACTGAGCCAAACCGGTTAGGGCTCAGCTGTTCTTAATAAAGCCACTTTAACTGTCTCTAGAACTTATGGGTTGAGATATAAGTAGTAACTTCAGAGCTCTATAATAGGACATGATTAGCATTTAAGAAATCTATTTGATTGTTACCCACCTAGTAATGACCATATAGAGGGACAGAGGTTAATTTAAAAATGTCTTTAGATATGTACATATATTCTACTAACCCATAAATCTAGAGAAGCAATTATTCACTAATAAGTTTCGTTTTCTCTGATTTAAAATCTTTTCATCTTGCCTGATTTTTTTCTGCAGAAAAAAAAATTAGTTTTTTCTATAATTTCTATAAACTAGAAAATTATAGTTTTTCTCCTAAAAAAATGCAACGATATTCTTTTCTTATAAATTGCCCTCTCGTATTTTCTTGTCAGCCTGCTTCAAGGAAATCCATGTATTCAATATACTTGCTCGCAGTTTGGCCCACACCAAATGGTTGTTTAATCCAAATATCTGAGCAGCAAACTGAGCTGATCCTTCTGGAGAAAGTATGGTTGAACAGCCAAGACCTATTGGTTCAGAAAGGAAAAGACAGAAAATTGAGCTGTCAATTAATACTGAAAGTACTACTTAAGCAAACTATTTTATACTCAGAGAAGTCCTGTTAGCCATAGATAATAAAAACTACTGTATTATTCTTATTTCAAGTATTTCTGCAGAAGGAGTTACTATCCTTAATGTTGGGGAGGTGAAGTGATTATAAGAGGAAAGTAATACATATCTGCTATGAGCAGGTATTTTATATGCATTATCTATGACTCTTCTCTCTGAATTCACTGGCAAAGATATTTACCCTTTTCAAAGTTCTTTTCACATACACAATCCCTTTAAATCCTGGTGAAGGACAATAGAAATAAAACAAGGGACAAGAGGGTAGAAACAGCTGTTCTTAGACAAACTTGAGGCATGCTAATTGTTTTAATAATATCTTAGCTACTCCTTTTGTTTTTACATTCTAACTAATCTAACATTTTTAAGCAGTAAAGGAGTCAAATCCAAAGCACAACCTTAATAAGTATCAGGTTGTAAGTAAATTTAATAGTAATAAGATCTAAAAGACTGAAGAGTAGCCATGGCTGTGTAGCTCACTTGGTTAGAGTGTTGTCTCAAATACACCAAGGTTGCAGGTTCAATCCCTGGTGAGGGCACATATGAGAATCAACCAATGAATATATAAATAAATGGAACAACACATCAATGTCTCTCTCTAAAAAAATCAATAAAAAAAATTAATAAAAAAGAAATGACCATAGATTAAAAAAAATTAACTTCCTTGGGGGCCACATGTTTGCCCAGCTTTGGTTTATTGAGGTGGTACTTATGACCATCACTAAAGTCAAAGAGTAGCTACCTGATCAATCCAAAAGCTCCCCTTTCCCAATATTCTTGGAATTCACTAGGCTCTTTGACTCTAACTATAATATCCCTAATAAGAACAGATTACAGTCCTCGCCGTTTTGGCTCAGTGAATAGAGCGTCAACCTGTGGACTGTCCCAGTCAAGGGCATATACCTCGGTTGCAGGCTCGATCCCTAATCCCTAGTATGTGGTCCCCTTTTTGTTGTTGTTTTTTGGTGGAGATGCCGGGGAATGTGTGGTCCCTTTATAGGGGTGCGTGTGGGGAGGCGACCAATCGATGTCTCTCTCTCACATTGATGTTTCTCTCTGTCTCTCCCCAACCCTTTCTCTCTAAAAAAAAATAAATGGAAAAATATCCTTGAGTAAGGATTAACAACAAAAAAAGAACATAGTATAAATCACAAGATTAATTTATTAATTTGTGTTAACATATGTGACTTTAGTCACTTTACTTTTAGTGTCATCCCAAAGATGACACTAAAGAGAATATTAGCATGGCCCCTGCTTAAGGATGACAAGCAAATACGTGAAGCGGGGGAAAAAAAAAATTAGATTAGTGAGCATGTTTTAAGAGAAAGAGAAATGGGAGTTTTCAGGATTTTACCCAGGCCACTGAAACACTATTCCTCAAAAGGTCATCCCACAATCCTAGTGATCAGAATGTACAAATCTTCAATTCTCTGTTTTTCCTTGAACAATACTAAATAAAATCTAATTTTTGCGCCCTAGCTAGTTTGGCTCAGTGGATAAAGTGTTGGCCTGCAAACTGAAAGGTCCCAGGTTCGATTCCAGTCAAGGGCACATGCCCAGGTTGTGGGCTCAATCTCCAGTGGGGGGCGAGCAGGAGGCAGCCGATCAATGGTTCTCTCATCATTGATGATTCTATCTCTCTCTCCATTTCCCTTCCTCTCCGAAATCAATAAAAATATATTTTAAAAAATGTTTAAAAACATCTAATTTTTGCTTACCACATTCCCATGGATAGCTTATTTTAAGCTCCATGGATAATACCTATACTATTTCCTCTAGTGTAGATTTGGTTACAGTTTTATTTATAGTTACAGTAGATTTCTAACTTGAGAAGTTGGTAGATGTCTAGTTGAAGACCTAGTCAAAGATGGATTAATTACAAGATGTCTCTCAGAAGTTGTGTAAAAAGCAGTAAAGGGAATAAAGAAAATAGACATAAACACAGCTGAAAGGCAAAGGGAGTGGTCACTACTTAGTATACCAAGAAAATTTAATCCTAAACTGGGAGCAGGGAAGGATGAGAAGCAGCCTGACGGAATCCACTGAAAGGTTGAGGAATTAGGGGCACCAGACACATCTGAAGGGAGGAGTCGGGGTGAAAATGGGGCAAAGGAGAAGGAAATCAAGAAGCAGTTTGCCCCTCAAATTCCCTTCCCCACCCTATGTACCTAAGCAAGCACCTTCCGGGCCATGGCAATTTTAAATTTTTATGAAGGCAAAACAGACTTGTCCAGACTTCTGTGGACTGGAGGACACCAGGCACAGCTGAGACACGAAACATCATAGTGAAAACGGGATTAAGTTTACAAATATTAAGATCCCTAGCTTCCTAAATGCTAGCAGCCAGGCTTATTCCTCCAAGTAGGAGACTGAGACTAGAAAGGTACTCTGGGTAATTCTGGGCAACACATGAGAAAAGATTGAAAGACATTGATGTGAGGTTATTCAAAGAACAGCCTTACCAGATCACCCCACAGTGGAGCCCACTTTTGACAAGCCCCAGCCATCTGCACAGGGCTTCCAACTGGCTTGTTACAGTGTCCCAGTTTTCTACACAGCTGAGGAAAGGAACCAATGTGAAAGACACAATAATCTCAAATAAAAGATGTTACTATAAATATTCCAGAAAGTATAGCAACAAGAGAAAGAAAATAGATATCAAGGAGGTCCAAATTTGAATAATAAGTCAAAAAACGAAAGAAAATGGAAGGGGAAGGAAATTATTAAGTAAATCAAATAAGCTTCCCAGGACTAAAAGAATCAGAATTCCAGAGTAAAAGCCCTCACTAAAAGCCAAGAATGAAAACAGACTCATCAAGACACATCTTTTGTGAAATTTAAGAATGGATAGACAAAAGATCCTACAAGTTTCCTAAAAGAAAATTCATAAACAAATGAGAAGACTGGAAAACATGAACACTAAATAGATGATTTTAAGAAATTACCATTAATTTTCTTAGGTGTATATATGGTGTCAAGCTTATGATTTAGAAACTAGAGTCGTTACCACTTAGAGAGGTATATTTAAGTATCTCTATATATAAAAGGCTAATATGCTAAGTGTCCCTCCGACTGTCTGACTGGTCGCTATGATGCGCACTGGCCACCAGGGGGCAAATGCTCAATGCAGGAGCTGCTGTGATGTGCACTTGCCATTTACAAAGAAATGGCACCGCAGACCTGGCGCCCACAAAGCAACACTCGGCTTCCCCCAAATGGGACAGAGGCTCCTCTACCACCCCGGAGCAACACCCCACCAAATTGCAGCCAACACTGCCGAGACCCCATGGCACAAAATGTGGCCCTCAGAAATGGTCGCTGTGGGAACCGGGTAATGACGTTACATAGCAACGCCCGGCTTCCTCTCCCTAGCGACTAGCCCCTTGGAGTTTCTTCAGCCCAGGAACACGACTTGCTTTACAGCTAGGTACAAACATTTTACACTTTAACCAGATGTCTGTGAAGCGTTTTCCCATGCCTCATCTCATTTGAGAGTTAGAAACATCGATGAGAGAGAAACATCGATCAGCTGCCTCCTGCACACTTCCTACTGGAGATGTGCCCGCAACCAAGGTACATGCCCTTGACCGGAATCGAACCCGGGACCTTTCAGTCCGCAGGCCGACGCTCTATCCACTGAGCCAAACCGGTTACGGCAGAATCCTATTTTCTTTTCATTAGCGAGAAAACGGAGATTTAGAAAGTTTAGAAACTTGACCCGACTGAAAAGAAGAAATTGTGGAACTTGAAGAAAATGACTTCAGGTTTTCTCACTGTGCAGAATATAGTCAAACACTGCAGCAGTTAAATATTTTACCCTTTGTTCTCCCTGCATGATCTACAATAACAGTCTGCTTCATGTTGATATTTACTGCTGTGTTGACAATTACCAGTTAAATATTTTACCCTTTGTTCTCCCTGCATGATCTACAATAACAGTCTGCTTCATGTTGATATTTACTGCTGTGTTGCTGACAATTACCTGAAAGAGAAGTTGGGCTGCTTCACTGGGCTGGAAAAAGTTTAGCTACATCAGAAAGCAGGTCTAATTAAGCAAGTTTATTCTCTATATATAAAAGGCTAAGTTGACTCACACATGTGTGATACATATGAAGCTCTCGTTGGCACCAATCGCACATGTGTGTTTCCTCTGTCATTTTCGATTGTGAATTTGGTTGACACTTCTATTACAGAAAGGGCGAATAGCGATATAAAAATATTTCTTCTAATTCATTTCCTTTCAATGTGCACAAATTCGTGCATTGGGCCTCTAGTTTAAGTATAAAATGCTATAATGTCTAAGATCTGCTTTAAAATAATCCAGAAGAGGGCTACAGATGCAACAAGATGTTAATTGCTGAAGCTGGGTAAGGGGTACATAAGGTTTTATTACATTATTCTCTATACTATTGTGCATGTTTAAACTTTTAATAAAGAATTTTTAAAAATTCAATGTATCTTACCACTGGGTAGTCGAAGAGAAGACCACACATCCTGAGCGCCCCAGTCTGCAGTGAGGGGAGGACAGCTGATAACTGGGTATGCAGTGTTACCAGACATCACTGGTCCTAAACCATTGCTTCTGCCTGCCACTGCCACAAAGACTGTAGGAATGCCATCCCCTAGGGAAGTCACAAGTTTATAATTATGCTAAATAGTCAAATGATATTTAAAGATAGGTTGAAAATAAGGGCCCATGTGTCTTAACTCCTTTAGTTCCTTCATCAGTCTCCAGAAAAGCATAAATAAGACATCACCTATTCATATTACATATTCTTATATTCTAAATATAAGGCTCACTCTGCCACTTATTATACATCAAGCAGTGAAGTAGTAAGAATAGGTTTGGCCATCTTTGAGATCCATAGGTTAAAGGAGAGGAGCGGGTACCAAAGTTTAAAGGGAATGGCTCAAAGGCCACTTCTACTATTGCTGCTTAGACTCAAGGAAACACCACCACCACCAGACCACTATCCTTTAACAGAGTAACAGAGGCTAGAGCTTTTGGTTTAAAAAAGAGTTGAAGGCAAATTCAATATAGTACTCAAGTATTTAAAACCCTTCAATGTATTTTCTAACATATCTCTAAAACATTTCATTCTTTGATAAAATTATAAATTGCTCCTTTGCATTTTTCTGGAAAAAGAGGTCTGGCTTTTATTATTTTATCAAAGAGACCTTTCCCTCCTCTCTAAAAAAACTTAACTTCACTCTTGTAGCAACAACCTTTGAAAAGAATATTCAAAAACATTTTTTCCAGTTGAAAAACATTTGGTCGTGTCTCTAGGGCTCCATTATTTTAGATCACTGCTATTTCATCAAGAGATTTCTTTTATATACTCAATTATGAAATTATTACTTAATTTCATGTTTGCCTCCCAGGAAAAGCTGGTCATTAAAGATACTTGAGAAGATCTGCTGCTTCAACCTCAGGCTTTCCATAATTGACATGGGCCCTATTTTCTGTTGGAGTATTTAAGAAATAGTGTTTGAGGGGCTTCTTATTAGGTAAAGACAGCCCGGTCTGTGTAGCTCAGTGGTTGAGCATCAATCCAGGAACCAAGAGGCCACTGATTCAATTCCCGATCAGAGCACATGCCCAGGTTGCAGGCTCAATTCCCTGTGGGGGGTATGCAGGAGGCAGACAATCGATGATGTTCCTTTCTCATCATGGATGTTTCTATCTCTCTATCCTCTCCTTCCTCTCTCTCTAAAAAGTCAATAAAATATATTTTAAAAAATAATAAAGACTAATTGTAGTCTTTATCTTCCTTCCATGCTTGAATTGTCAAATCATTCTCTTTAACCCACTCTTTTATAAGCATTACTAGTCTAAACATAAAATTCTTTGGCAAAATGTGGAGAATGTCCTGAAATGCTCCAGTTATCTGATGTTTACCTTCGTACTCAGCTTTAATCCTCAGCGTTTCATCTGGTCCTTTATGGGCAGAGGTCACCCGAAGTTCACATGGAATGCCAAAATATCCACAAGCCTTCTTGATTTTTTCACAGTGACCAAGATCAGAAGTTGAGCCCATTAATACTACAACCCTGCACTGACTTTGTGATTTCAGAAGCAACTGGAAGAAAAAAACATGCATAGCAAAAGAAGATAAGGACAAAAATGGATAAATATTGGAACGAGTTAATTTGCAGAGCTACAGTTTATACTAAAAATACATCTGAACAGAATATTTTATTTTTTAATAGACCAAATTTAAGATAAACACAACAAAATGTAAGAGAATTTACTTTTCAAAATAACTTCTATAAAGAAGAGTTCTTCATAATTAAAACCAAAGAGTATGATTTCTTAACCAAACTGTTAATTATAATAAGCAATGGGTAAATATTCAACTTCTAACTAATATTCAGAAAACTATAAATATATTTTATCCTAAGATTTTTAGTTCAGTCTGTTTAATGGAGGTTTTAAGGCATAATCAGCCAAAATACAGAGGTTATTTTATAAATCTTTAAGGTAGTCACAAGGAATCCAAATGCATATTCCCATGGAAATGATGATCTGAAAGATAGTTACGACGATTAGATAACCACAAATCCTATTCAATTCCCATGGAATCACAGTAATGACAATTCAATAGCTCTTAAAGTGACATTTTAATGTCACAAGGAACTCTAATTCTGAACTCTGATAATGGAACCCATGCTAATGGAACTCTGAGTAGCAGTGGAGAGGTTAGTAAGAAATGCATGACTTCTCTTGCAGGGGCCAGAGGAAACAAGGATTCTAGATTTCCTCAATTGGATTTGGGAGAAGTGTAATGGAAGCTTAATAGCAGGGGATCCAGGGATCCAGTTATTTTGAAGTAAGAAGTTCTTAGACAAAAACACATAATACAGTGTGGATTTACAACAAAAGGTTTACCTCTACTCTTTCAGCAACCCACTCAAAATTTTTCTTTACCATCTGGAGCCCTTCAGGAGTTACTTCCTTGAGGTCACGATATGACTAGAAAATAAAGACAGAAAGTTGAGGCTGCAAGTATTCTAATTAGTAATATTCTTGCTATCTGAAATTATTTGGTTTCTGAGTTTTGGGTACAGATTATGAAGAGTTTGCCTAGCAAAGGGTATATCTGAAAATGTATCTGAGTTTATGAATTAATTTCTTGAATTAGACTAAAAATAATTTAGTGCAGTACACTTAAACTACAATTAACTGCCATGACAATTCTCATATAAAGTGAATCTTGCCCTATGTTTTTTACGTAAAGAATAGAAATAGAACCTGGTAAGATCCAGAAGACTTGGGATAGAGTTCCAGATCTGCCACTTATTGCTGTAATTGTGAAGATATCTATCTTTCAGAATCTGTTGGGGTCCAACCCCAGCAGGTCGAGGGGTCCCCAAAGGTGTGGACGGAGTCGGCGAAGAAGGAATGACACGGAGACAGCGTTCAGTTGATCAGCAGCTTAGCCAGGATCTCTAGCCAGGTTGTAGCCAGGATCTCCAGCTATGTTCTGGTGTTTATTGTCTTGTTACATCTGTATTTATACCAGTTGATTTTAATCCTGTCAATTTCTATTGCAAAGGTTAGGGCGTTTCTTATCTCCATTCCAGGGAATAAAGATTATGTAGCTTAAGTGTGATTGTTTGTAGTTAAAGTGATTAACTGCCCGCCTGGCACTTAGTTAAGGGGTTTTATCCCTTCCCTAACTTCAGGGAAAAATCCCTACCTGGGGAAACAACCTTTCTCGGAGAGGTGACCTTGGTTAAAACACGTAGCTAAGGGGAACAAACATATTAAGAACAGTATGCTATATATGCCAGGTCCCTTGAAACATATGCTGTGCAGATGTTTCTTTCCTGCAGCGACTGTGTCAAGCAGCAAGGGTGGACCGGCTTCCGGCAAGAATCTTACTTTTCAAGTAATCAAACAAAGATAATACTTGCTGTGTGAGTCTATTACAATAATGAGAAATCTGCATTGTAAATGTAAGGTATTATTCCTACCTTTTTTTCCAGGATATAGGAAATATGAGAGATATTTAGCTTTAAATAAATAGCAATCAACAACACAGGTTCAAATCATAAACCTATATAATAAAGAGCTAATATGCAAATGGTCGTTGTGCCTTCGCACCAGGGTGGGGGGACCTGAGGCCAGGCCCCCCCCGCCCTGGTGCCGGGTCGGGGGATGCAGCTATACCCCCGACCCAGTGGGGCTTGATGGGGGTGGGGCCGGCCAGGTCTGGGTCTCATGTGATTTAGAGGCGCACATGCGTGGTCGGCGGGGACTTGACTCTGGGTCCCACAGCGCGCCCCAGACTCTGACAGGAGGGAGATTTTCATATACATTTTACTAATTTTCTTTAATCTCTGACACTTCTATTATAAAGGGCAAATAACAATATTAAAATATTTCCTCTAATTAATTCCCTTTTAATGTGCATGAATTTTGTGCACCGGGTCACTAGTCTATAATAAAAGTATAATATGCTAATTAGACCGGACAGCCAAACAACCTCCTGGACATCATTCTGGGTGTACTTCCCAACGAAGCCGTGGTGGTGGGGGCCGGGCCGAGGCAGAGGTGGTTAGGGGCGATGAGGCAGGCATGCGAGCAGTTAGGGGCGATGAGGCAGGCAGGCAGAGTGGCTAGGAGAGATGAGGCAGCCAGAGTGGTTAGGGGCAATGAGGCAGGAAGGCAAGTGGTTAAGAGCGATGAGGCAGACAGGCAGAGTGGTTAGGGGCAATCAGGTAGGCCAGTGGTTAGGAGCCAGCGGTCCCAGATTGCGAGAGGGATCCCTGCAGGATCGGGCCTAAACCAGCAGTCGGACATCCTCTGAGCGGTCCCGGATCGAGAGAGGGTGCAGGCTGTGCTAAGGGACACACCCTCCGCCCCCTCACCCCCACCCCACTGTGAACCAGGCCTCTAGTAAATAATAATTGCCTTTCTTGCCTCCCACTTTTCCTTTCTCCTCTACCAGAGCCTGATCTTGCAATGAATAAAAAATAACAACAACCCTGAAGTATCACTTACCTGTTTGTCTTTCTGTTGGCTTCGATCTCCTGATGGCCAGAGTCTCCAGGAATCATTATCAATAACATCAGCAAGAACAATTTCTTTGGTGGTGACATCAACACCAAATTCAATCTAGAAACAGCAGATCACCAAAGAAAAGTTTCTCAAAACTATACTACTAAAGACATTTCTCAGTTGTAATTTTTTACTTTCAAATCTCCATTTTATTTGTACCTTCATATCAACCAGTGTACAGTCCTGGGGCAACCAGGATTTCTCCAGTATTTCAAAAATAGCCTGTGTAGCATGATTCATGATGTCCACTTCAGTCTGGCCTATAACAAGTCCAGCAAAGCAAAATTTTGCAGCAATGAGTTGTTCCTCAGACCACTGTGGATCATTATTGGCATCATCCTGAAAATAAAGTATAGGATTACAATTAATCTATAATAAAAGGATAATATGCCAATTAGACTGGACGTCCTTCCTGACAAAGCAGGGTCCCGGGTGCTGGAGGGACCAGCCTAGGTCCTGGAGGGAAGCTGGTGCCAGCAGCTGGGGAAGGAAGGTCTACTCTTGCACGAATTTTCATGCATCGGGCCTCTAGTTTAAATATAAGATATTTGAACTTTTCTAATAATCTGAAGTCCTTTTTCCCTTGAGCATGAATCCTCAGAAATATCCCTCTAAAAAATGTCCTCTAAAGATTAAATTTTATTTAAAATACCCTTTAATTCACAGCAAATATATTCAGTTGGTCTACTTTCAATAGTTACTTTAAAACTTAAAATATTTGGGTAACATTCTAATTATAAAGTATTGAAAGAATTTGGCCTCTCTCTAGAAACTAACTTAAACACAAATATGGAAAGAGAAAAGCAGTTTCAATAAAGAAAACCAATACAAATTCATAACCACGGACTCCTACTTCCTTTATTGTATGTTTTTGCTTATAAGAGACACTGATAATAGTTTTTCTGTATCTATAATAATAAAAGTGTAATATGCTAATTAGACTGGACGAAGCTGGGGCTGCGAGGGCCGAGCCCCTTGCATGAATTTTGTGCATCGGGCCTCTAGCTAAAATATAAAAGACCCCTCATAGTAGCCTTTACTTCAAATTCTTCAACAGTAAATTAAAAATTTTTTTGAATTGTTACTTTTCTTCCTAGTAATTGCTAATTTTATTTTGTTAGTCACCTTGGTAGAAAGTAAGATAGGTTTTCAAAGGTGTTTCCTTTTTAAAAGCTGAATTATGATTGCTAATGGAAGTATACATTATTGACATGTTTCTGGAGTGACAACTGTAATGTAAAAAGTTTTTTAAATTGTTTTTTTTGTGAGGGAAAGGGATAGAGGGATGAAAACATAAGTGAGAGAGAAACATCATCGCTTTAATGTTTAAATGTTTGACTTTAAGTTTGTAGTTGTGTTATAGTAAGACAGATGCATAAAATAAATACCTTAAAAAACATCTCCACTTTAGGAGGGTAAAATTTGTACCCTTCTTTGACACCAGGATTTCTTTTGAGAAAAGAACCAGTTGCTATTCTTCTACAAACCCATTCAATTGGAATCATTTCACACTTAGGTGCAATGAAAGCGGTCTCCCCACATTTTCTGGTGAAAGCAGTTTTGATACCTATATATGAATAAGAAAAAGAAAAAAAAACCACACCATTAAAATTGTATTTTAAAAAGTAGACCTGAGGCATAATAAAACTCTATCCTTACAAAAAATAAAATCCTATTTAGCTAATTACATTTCTCTTAAATGACACTATCAAAAATAAATGTAATTTTTAAAAAGTAGAAATAGGAAAAATTAACATGTCTTACTACTACTTATCAAAATACTCAGGTTTGTTTCACTTTCATGTCACATGGCAAAATATATACTGGATCCTGAGTCGCAGTGTCTTTATCATTCATTAATTTTTTCATTCAAAAAATACTTATTGAGAACATCCTCTGCCAATGAGTACTTGACTTTGCACAAGGCACATAACTTATCTAAGTGGCACTTAATCATTAGATTTAGTTGCAGGATTCTCATATTCTATGGTCCATTATTATACAGGCCTTGTAAAATATCGATCTACTTAGCACAATCAGCTATAATCTTAAATTTTGGATAGCTTTTTTCTCTTAACATTAGAAGCAAATTATCTTTAAAAAACCACCCAACAATTAGCAGCAGGGACATAATGGCCAATTTGGCCAACAGCAAATAAAATAGTTGTTCTTCCTCTCCTTCTCTCTTATTCAAACTATTATTGGAAAACTAAAATAAAGAGCTGACTTGTGATGTTTAAAATGGGAACTATTTTATGTGGTAGTCTTGGAAAATAACCTCTCTAAAAACAGTTATAATGTTTATCACAAACCATATCAGCATTCCATTTCTGGGATTTCTAGGTATTAACATTACAGCCTGAAGATGAACGTTATGTTAAACTCATGTAGGAGATACTTTAATTCCCATTAATGCTACAGTATTACTTTAGAGTGATGTAATAACACTTCTACGAAAGGCTGTATTGAAAAGAACTGAAAGCAGGTACTCAAACAGGTACTCATACACCAATGTTCACAACAGCATACTAGTAATTCCTAATAGCCAAAAGGGAGAAACAGCCCAAGTGTCCATCAACAGATGAATGGGTAGACAAAATGTAGTATACACATTCAATGGATTCAGTCATAAAAAGGAAAGAAATTCTAATACACGCTATAACATGCATTAAACTTGAAAACAAGCTAAGTTAAATAAAGAATATAATTCATTCCACGTATATAAGGTCCCTAAGATAGGCAAATTCATGGATAAATGTAAAACAGAGGATACCAGAAGCTAGGGAGAAGGGGGAATAGAGAATTACTATTTAATGTGTCAGGGTTTCTGTCTGGGACAATGAAAGTTATGAAAATAGATAGTGGTGATGGTTGCACAGCACTGTGTATGTACTTACCGCCAAGAACTGCACATTTAAACATGGTTAAAACGGTAAATTTTATGTATGTATATTTTGCCACAAAGTAACTTTTAAAAGTATCAAAACCTAATTTGTTAGGCATTGCTAATTTATTTTCTTTTTGTTTAACCCTCATAACACCTGATAAGGTAGATAGTATGATTATCCAATAAAACAGATGAGGACACTGAGGCTCAGTAGTTATGTCAGCTAGTAGTAGGTATAGCAGGGTTTCCAACCCATACTGAACTCTGTGGGTTGCCCACTTAACCACTATACTATACTATACTACCTGTCCCCAAAGTGTTATTATATCCCAATACAAAGTAATACTAGAGCATGAATGCGAATCAACAAACCCGCATGGGCTTAATATAATATTCATCTCAAGGCTGCAATGTTAGTACCTCCATTGCCAATGTAATCCTCTAAGACAAAAGTTTTCTTAGGAAAGGACTGGAGATCATTGATCATATGTATGTATCCATACATGAAAGGAATTTACATTTATAAAAACTCTGCACTGTTCTGAGTGTTTTATGCATTATCTTATTTAACAAAATATAAAAATTTTGAGGTAGGTATTATTATTTACATTTTATAGTGAAAGAAGCAGAGACTCAAAGAAATGAAGTGGAAACTCTAGGTTATGCTGCCAGTGAGTAATGGTGCCTGGACTTGGAAGTGCACTGTCCAATTCCAAAACCTATGCTGCTTTCTCTGCATCTCCTCTGGGTTTGACCAGTAAAATTCAATGGAAACAGGGTAAATAAATTGTGGTATGCTGCATAACCAGGAAATGACTGGGCTCATAGGCAGATGATTGACATCAATCCTTAACTCAAGGTGATTAACTACGTGCCTCACTGCCTGGCTTCAAGAGCTCTTCTTTTTCAGACCTATTAGTCCTTAGTCATATTTGCTCATTTGTCCAAATCTGTTGTTTAAACATAAACAAGTTACTCTTACCCAGAGAAACTCCTCCCAGCCCCCACCCTGCGACATGCACACACTTAAGGGAACCAAAAGCACAGAATCAACTTATGGTAATAAACTTGTACAGAGAAAAAAAAAAAAAAAAACACTTCCAAAAAATACTGATTCAGTTAAATGATATGATTCCTTTTAATACAGATGCTAACCATTAAAGCAAATTTCATGACTACATACGATGAGAAAAAGAACTCCCCCCATTTGTCTGTTGTCTACAAAATTCAAAGCCATCACGATTACTAAGAAAATGTTACTTCATACTCTGAATTACAATGGCCACGTATGATAAACAGCCCACATATTCCTGGGGCCATCCATGTATTAAGGCTGCCCAGCTTCCCATCCGTGGTTTGGCAACTGTAGGATTGTTATTCATATCACTATTCTCACACCTAAATGTAATTTCAGTGCATTTTTGTGGGAGAGCTGAAACTTAAAGGTTAAATTTTGATTTTTAAACATTGAGACCAAATCCACAAATCTTCTAACTCAGGTACAGCACATAATATAATTACCAGGGAAAAACAGTATTACCTATACCTATTATTTGCTCAGTATTTTATAGTTTGTTCATGAGTGACAATGAGAAAACTAGAATCCTGATTTATTGATTCTCATTCTGGTGCTCTTCCCATTCTAATTTCTTGAATTACCTTAATTTGGAACATAACCCTGGTTGTAAAGAAAGAAATTTTAAATAGACCACTGGTGGTCAATTAGACATAGCATTTATTCAACTAGTAGCAAGTAAAAATTACATAAAGCGTAACAGAACTCTTAATCTGTCCTCAAACCGATTTGTTCAAGAATTTTAAAAAACCTAGGTTTTCCTTAATTTTACAACATATAAAGCCTGGAAAATACTTTTCAACATTTCCTGTGAGCCAAATAAGTTTCAGCTAAGTTAAATGTGTCAAATACAATAGTTTATAGAGAATTGTTAAGAGTACTTCATTTAAGGTAATCAATTTTCCTAGTTACCTGAGCTGCAAGACTTTCAAAGTCAAACTAGGAGACACCCTCAACAACTTGGATCACTCTAATTCACTTGTTCTTAAACCCCAGAAAGTATACTGATAGTGCCTTATTAAATAAGCAAAAAGCTTGGGCTGTACTTATCTTCTATTACTTTAAAGTGCATATATGTGTGCGCGCTACACACACACTCCCACAGCTATATGCAATTACTGTGGGTACATAGATACTAATTTATTAACAATTTACAGTGTTAAGTAACTTGGGTTTGACTCCCAGTCAGGGGTGCAGGCCTGGGCTGCATGTTCAATCCCCAGCACCGGTTGGGATGCCTGCGGGAAGAAGCCAATAGATGTATCTCTTCCACATCGATGTTTCTTTCTCCCCCTCCCTTCCTCTCTCTCTAAAAATCAGTGGAAAAGTATCCTTGGGTGAATATTAACGAACACTGAAATGGTACTTGGGAAGAGACAAAACTATCTAGAACCCATTCTGTACTAACAGAATGGATTTAACTTAAATTACCTTATTTTGTTTTTTGTTTTCCTTGATGTCTGTAGCCAAACTTATCCCTGAGGCCCAGCAGAGGGGATCAGGGCCCATGCACCACAGTGTTTCTGTGGCAGCCTTCTGGGCCAGTGCGTGCCATGGGTGGGCAGGCACCGAATTTGACACGGCTGCATAAATTACCTTATTTTGTATAAGGCAGGCATGTCTACCTTGACTGGCAACAAACGTATGAAATCCCCCTTTTGATTTAAGGAAGACTAATGCTTACTGGAAGCTCTAAATTACGAAAGGGCAACTGGGAAAAGTGTAAATAAAAGGAGACAAAGTTATTAAGTTATAAAATTAGAACTGAGATAAAGAACAAAGCTTTTATTTAATAGGTAAGGAACCAGAGGCTTCAAAGGTTAAAGGATCGAAGACAATGAGACTACTAAAGGGAAAGAGTGCAAATCTTTTACAGGTTAAGATTTCATACACCACAGACCAATCTGCAGAAAAATACATTATCCTAATTCCCCTTCCTTCACTCCATAGAATGTTTTGATCTTGTTTTTATCTTTCTAGTAGACGTCTCTATTGGAAAGTCTTCAGTTTTGGAGTAGGAGGTAATCCTGAAGATCTTTGATCTAGTCCAAATCCCTCACTTGGGGAATAGCGGAATGAAATGTGGTTAGTCTTCAAACACTTTTCAGAGCTTTCAAGTGGAAGAGAAATTTTAAATTCTGTATTATCTCCAAGGATGGAACACAGAATAATTGTATAGAATTACAGCTCATAAATTTCAACTCATCAACTAGAGCTGCCTAACACCAGAATTTGCTTCCTTCATAGGTACATTCCTTAAGGTCCTTTATAGGTAAGTCTCTCTTAGGAAGATGCCCTAGAAGTTGCAGGGAAGATTCCTTTTAATTAACTAAATAATACTACTTACTAATTCCAAACCAAGTAAAGTGTTATAGTGAAATCTGAGTTCCTGGTTTGATTTAAATAAGCTTACTTGTGAGGCATCTCCAAACAAAATGTTAATACAAATAGTGTCATCTACCCATGAAAGAGATTAGAGTGTGTTGTGTATATACCTCCCTGATAAAGGGAAGCCACTTACCTGATTCCTCTAAGAACTAAAAAAATAATAACTAGTAATCAACATGTTGTTAATACAATGTGTCATTTCTCCCTGAAAAGGACCAATATGTGTATGTGAGAGAGAACATGAAGTGGGAGGCTACTGGGAGAGCCACTTACCTGCTTCCTGTAACAACTGAAAAATACAACTAGTAATTTTATTTGAGATTGCAGCTTTTCCTTCCAGGTGATTCTTTCTGGCTGCATTTCCTGCTGTAATCTGGTCCTTGGACTGCAGGAGCACTTTTCCTGGACTGTCTAACAATTCATAGACTTCTTTTGTTTTACCCTCATAGAGCTTTTTACCAATGTTCAGTACTGTGGAAATAGAATGGAAACATCATATTTCAGGAAGAATTTTGCTAAACAGTAAAGACTACTTAGAATGATGAATCAATGAACACAGTGGTTAAGCAAAATTTTAATAATAAGCTCATCTGCATAGGAGCTTACCATATACTCTATAAAGTATTTCCACATGCATCATCATATTTGATTCACACAATTTTGTGAAGAATTATTGTGTAAATAATTGTAGAGATTAGGAAACAAGAATCAAAAAGGTAGAGGTCACGAATTGGGAAATTGCAGAACCAGACAAAATTCTGAATCTTCTATCAAATTCTGTGGTCTTTCCACTATCAACCTGACTCTCAGAGCAGAACTGAAGTAGAATTAAGATCCATTAAAATTAATGTAAATATACTAGTATTTTCAGATACATACAATAACTAATCTAGCTTGCAGGGGCCAGGGTTGGGGGAGAGGGAATGCTTTATTTTGCCTGACTTCTGCTTTCCATGGCAGGTGAGATAGGCAAGTTCAGCCAAATTGGTTCCCGATTCAAGTTAATGTGCAAGGGAAGGCACCTCCACCAGTAGTTAGCCCACCTGGAAGCACCTTTCTCTCTTTCTCAATCCTGCTTCCCAATCTTCTACCCTTAGTTAACCCTTTCTCTTAACAGTTGCAGGAAAGTATGAGGAAGTAAGGACAAGAGACTTCAATTTTGCCCTAGCTAGTTTGGCAAAGTGGGTAGATTGCCAGCCTACAAACTGAAGGTTCCCGGTTTTGATTCCGGTCAAGGGCATGTACCTGTTGCAGGCTCAATCCCCCACCCATAGAGAACCCAATTTTGATGCAGGTTGTAAGACCTATATGACGATCAGAGATAACAGAAGTTCAAGGACTTAAGATTTCCTAGGGGAAAAAAATCACTCATTCTCAGTATCAGCATTTTTTAATGTCCATGTGTCAGGTAGTAGGGATATAGCAGTAAAGGAGATGAAGTTCATGCTGTCAAGTGACCTGAGTCTGAGGGCAGCTGAAATTAAATAAGACATCTAGTAAGTATAGTGTACGAAATATAGACTATGGGACCACAGGTTCATAGCGGGGCCACCAAACCTAGTCTAGACCTCAAAGAACAATGAGAGGATTAGGCTGAGATCTGAGGAATGATCAAAATGTAACCAGAAGAGGGAAAGGGGTAGGTAGTGGTAAAGAAAAAAGACCATGGGGTGAAAGAATACATGCATGGCAGAACTTCAGTATACCTGGAGCACTTTGTGTGTACACTGCTGCTGGGCAGGGAGGGTGGCAGCAGCTAAGAGTAGCAACAAATGGCAGGAGATAAGACTTCCACAAGAGTTGGGGAAGTAGGTTATGTCCAGCTAGTGGAGGGAACCACCAAACAAATTTAGAGGATGAATCCCATCCCCTATTATGTCTTGACTCACGGACAAGGCTTAAAAGGCCCTTCAAAACAGCCCCAGCGTAGTGGTCCAAATTCAATGTCTCATTCCTTTCCTAGGACTCTAACTTCTGTAACTGAATTTCTATATCCCCCTCCCAGGCTTTGGACATGCTCTTCCCTGGGCCTAGAATACGGTTTCCTTCACTCCTCATCCTTTAGGTCTGATACGCCATGTTGACTGAGTTTAGACTTTATCCTAAGAACAAACATGTGGCTTTTAAGCATTTAGTAAAATGACAGATTTCTATATTAGAAAGATTATGGCTGCTGTATGACGAATGAAATGAAGAAGGGGAGAGAGACGGAGAGAACAGTTAGGATACTGTCGCAGCAATACAGGCAAGAAACGTCCTGGTCTAAGGAAAAAGTAATGGGGAAAAGACTCGAGATATTTAAACGGTAAAAAAAAATTTTTTAAATTTATTTTTATTGATTTCAGAGAGGAAGGGAGAGGAGGACACAGAGAGAGAAACATCTATGATGAGAGAGAATCACTGATTGGCTGCCTCCTGCATGCCCCACACTGGGGATTGAGCATGCAACCCAGGCATGTGCCCCGACCAGGAATTGAAGTGTGACCTCCTGGTTTGTAGGTCGATGCTCAACCACTGAGCCACGCCAGCTGGGCTAAAAGGTACAAGTTTTTAGAACAATTGATTCATTTTGGGAGATAACAGAGACAGGAAAAAGTCAAGATGTTGCCTAGGTTAGATAAAAGGCAAAAGGAAGTTTGTACCTACTGCCCCTCCTTCCCAATTTAGTTGAATCAATACTTTTTAACCTAGTCATTAAATAGGGTAGGAATTATGGGTAGAAATATCTTAATCATGGGAAACATGCTACAAGTACCGAAATGCCTGCTACAAATTAGTGGACTTGCCTGGTGGTTTCAGAGCTCCCCAAAGCCATCATGGCATTACAAGGCTAATTTAAAAACACACCCCAAATCGGGACAGAAAATAGCAAATTTTTCAGAAGGTTCAATGATTAACTTTCTGGAATAGAAGGTTATTATTAACCTAACAAGAAGAGTCATCTAGTTTGAAGAGTCAACACGAGATGTTCCAGTGTTTGTTTTTCAGTACCTATTGATTACAAAACTGACTTCCAGGCACCTCTTCACCCGATGGCCATTTCTGTTCTAACTATCCCTTCCCTTCCCTTTCGTCCTCACCCCATCCCAGACGCAGTCCTGGGTGTTTCGGAAAGTTCGGGAGGCCGGGGGGCGCTTTATTTACAAGGCTCGGTACCGGGACGCCCGGGCCACGTGTCCGCCTGCGCGGCGGCCTGGAGGGGCGGGTACCGGGAGATCGGGCA